GTTCTCGCAGCTCTTTTTGCTGACAGAGCAGATGCCCAGCGCGAGCAGCACATCCCGATGAAAAGGCACGTTGAAATTCGTGCCCAGGGTCAAGAGGTGTGGAACGATACCTGGGAAGCTGGACGGAAACTCCGTCGCAGCTGTCGCAAAGTTGGCTACTGCTCCCATCCCGATCACTCCGTGAGGATGCTATCATGTCGATGAGAACTTGTCAAACGAGCCGCATCGCATCATTCGGGCAGAGGGTCGCACTCACGTCTGTCGCATGATTTGACACGCACAAGAAGAGCAAGCAAGTCGATTCGTCAGTAAAAGTGTGGCTGTAGTCCCGTATCAAGGCGTGGTATACCAACGCACATCTGTATTGGAAAGATGATGTAGGCCACAAAGACAGGTGAGTGACTTCAGGTGTGCGCAGATACCGGCAGAGCTTGCAGACACTCACCCAAAGACGTAGGTCCGACTTGCTGGCAAGTCAGCCGACTGGAAACATCGAGTGAGTAGGTTGCAGCGGGTTGTCAATGGGGATGCAAATTGATCAGACTCTGCAAGTTCGCACGCGACGATTCGCAATCTCCAGCGTTGTGAGGGATCTGACCGGCTTGATGGTGCCCATTGCCGGCGTATCGCGTTTGTCCAAAGTAGTGCCTCCACACTCACCTTGATCAGGCTGACGGGATAGTATTCGGCAAACCTCCTCCAGACCGACAGGCGCCTGAACCACTCCGATCTACGACCTCCACTTTCCGGCGCCTTGTCAAAGAACATCCAAATGATGTAAACGAACATCAGAGGCCAGAGGGGTGGTATCGATCTATCGAGCACGAAGCCCGTCGACGGCGAGGAACCAGAGCATATGGTCGCGGGCAAAGATGTTTCCAGCTGCTGTGTCAGCACTCCCCGTCTGAAGCGCACCACTAGAGTGCAGGTTGCTCAAGCATACTCACAAGCAGAAGAAGAAGAAGCTGAGACACACCGGCAGGATGAGACCCCACAATAGCACGGCTAGGGTCTGCATCCGACGATGTCTGGGGACATGTAGAGGGGCAAACCTGGACGAACAGATGGGGATTAGACAGGTCAGCAGGGCTGTGGTCTGCTTCGGTCTTCTCGCGTCCGTCTGTCGCAGCCTGAACTTCCGTCTCCGAGGGGACCGAATCCGGACGTGATCGGCGGTTTCAATATATGTTCAGATCAAACTGACGAGCTGCCGAGTGATCTGGCGACCTGGACCTGCTGTCTCTCAGCAACAAGTTTCCTCCGCATATTTACTGCGCTTACGAGCGATGCGCTTAGCCTGCCCAAGCCCAACACTCTCTTACAGGGGCCCGGCATTCATAGCACGCTACTCCGCCTCCCAAGGTTCTTTGTGTTGCTGCTCCGACAAGCACGCACCTGATAGCTTCGCTGGTCAGCCAACCCTGGCCCTTCGCATCGCCATGCGCCTCATCCCTGGCACCAACTGCCAACTGAGCCGGATCATTCGAGTTGATGCCTTCGCTAGGCGTGCCGGAAGGAGGACTCGGGACGTGTCGGATACCCGCTGTGGCCGATGCGGGAGCTGGCTGCATGGATTCCTTCTGATGGATGCCGAGGGTGGGCGACATGGCGTTCTGCAGCAGCACGGATGGCATGGCTCTCTCTGACTCTTGCACCGCAATCGGGTTCTGGTTCAGAGGCTGAAGACCGTAGAAGAGTGAAGCAATGCTCGAATTGAGATTCACGATTGCGCTAAGCTTCCGCCCAAATTTCGCCAGACGTCGAATAGAGCGTGGACCTTCTTGACGACGAGTTGCGGAGCACTAGCTCCTTCCGTCCAATCGAGCCCACCTGGTGGTGTATTGCTCTTATAGTGGAAGACCAGAGTCGACCCGCGTGCAGTTGGATCTGACTCCCGGTGCGGATCGGGAGTCAGCCGCGTGTAGCAAGCTTCACTGTGGCCCAGTGGCAGCACGGCTGAGCTCCTGAGCGGCGTCTTGCAGGCGTGGGAACAAACGCTCTGTGGCTAATCGTGACGAGACTCTGATCGGAATGTCAGAGAGAAATCGGGTATCACTTTCCCTTAGCGCTTGTAGTGTGCTGCTATGATGCTGAATGTGAATGCCGAGTTCCGAAAAGATGGAGAGGGAAATGCGATACGATGCGAGGACGCTTTCGTTGCAGCTGCTATCACGCATCCGCCTTTCATGCCGCTGCTTCTGCTGCAAGGATCTTGGAACCCTAATCGGGCTTTTGGACGCTGTTCCCCGTGCTGATTCAAGGTTGCTGTTGACAACTCACGTGACATGCCCTTAGCGTTTTGTACGTGTCTGCTAATCACGGATCTTGAATCAAGAATCATGAATGTGATTCTTGATTCAATTTTGAATGTTCCGTTGTGAATGACCAGCACAACAGATGGGAAGCAACGAGAATTGGCAAATAGGACGAGGATGAAAGTCGTCAGCGTCG